AACAAATTTTGATCATTTTATTTATTCAAACTTTTGAGCTAGTTTGACCATGATGGTTTTTTTAATGGTTTTTTTTCTGCATGAAAGAGTGAAACGGTTTTTTTCTCAAATTATAAGTTAGAAACTTCCACATTGATAAGTAGAACAAATTAAGTAAACTTAATTACTAATTTAGTTGAGTTCAAAAAAGATAAATATAGATGTATTACAGAGATGAAATGTTACCAACACCCGTACCCGAAATACAGCGGACGAATCTTGCATCAACACTTTTGCAGTTAAAAGCAATGGGAATCAATAACTTGATTGATTTTGATTTCATGGATGCGCCGCCAGTAGAAGCAATGATTACAGCTTTAACGCAGTTACACACTTTAAGCGCTCTTGATAATGATGGCCTGCTAACTAGGCTTGGAAGAAGGGTATGTACTGTATATAAGTTTTCAAGTTTTCTCACATTTGGTAAAGAATTATTGCTTTCGTTTGTATCTATAAATTTCTTATTTAAACATAAGATTTTAAATTTTAGTCATGTTCAGTAATGTATTGAGATAAGTGTTACGGTTTATTCGATAGTTATCTGCATTTCAGATGGCTGAATTTCCTTTAGAACCAAGTTTGGCGAAATTGCTTATCATGTCAGTGGATTTATGTTGCTCAGATGAGGTATTAACGATTGTTTCGATGTTATCAGTACAGAATGTTTTCTATAGACCAAAGGTACTTTTTCGATTTCAGTATGTAATGTTTTAGTTATTTTTAAAGACACTATCAGCTGTACAGTCATCAGTTTTTATTCATTTATTACTAAAGGATAAGCAAGAAATAGCTGACCAAAAGAAAGCGAAATTCCATCAACCGGAAGGCGATCATCTAACTTTGCTGGCAGTTTACAATTCTTGGAAGCATCACCATTTCTCACAACCTTGGTGCTATGAAAACTTTGTCCAAATTCGAACTTTGAAGAGAGCTCAAGTAAATTTTTGTTGTTTTCTTCCTTTTTACCAAGTTTTCATTTTTATTCGTTTCAACAGCAACTAACAGGTTTTAGGCAGTGATTTTCTTTTTTAAAGGACATTCGAAAACAGTTACTTAATATTATGGATAGGCATAAGCTAAATACAATAAGCTGTGGTCGGGATGTACAACGTATACAGAAAGCCATTTGTTCTGGTTTCTTTCGCAATGCGGCTAAGCGGGACCCGCAGGTATTTTTGCGTTTGCAAATGTGATTAGTATGGTTGAGATAATCGAAGATCGGTATTCATTTTATAAACGTGGTGACATGGTTTTTGTTCAGGACAGTATTGTCTCATAAACACTTGCAAGATGTTCCAAAGATACTGTATACTTAAAACTTAAAAGAAATGGTGTCATAGGATGTTATAAATTATTTGTGAATCTATTCAATCATTTCATTACTGTTGTGTTGAAAGCTTTTAGTTATGATTTTAGGAAGGATATCGAACCATTGTTGATGGTCAAAACGTGTACATACATCCATCTAGTTCATTATTTCAAAATCAGCCAGAATGGGTTGTTTATCATGAGCTTGTTATGACAAGCAAAGAATACATGCGTGAAGTATGTTGGCATCCTTATTCCACTATTTTGAGATAATTCATTTTTCTTAGGTCTTTTGTAGATTTAAGATGATGAATACTACTTGGAATAGAATATATGGTTTTATTCTCATTTATTTGTTTTATCCAGTTTTCCATTTTTTACAGGTTATTGCCATTGAACCGAAATGGTTGGTTGAATTCGCACCATCATTCTTCAAAATGGGTGATAACACAAAACTTTCCGCATTCAAAAAGAACCAAACGATTAATCCGTTGTACAATAAATACGAAGATCCAAATGCCTGGCGTATTACACGTTTGAAGAAGAAGATTTACAATCCAAATCGATAAATCACCATATAAAATTAACTATTTCACATGATCTTCACTAATTTTTGTATATTTTTGTATTTTTTCTGCTTATTGTTTATTTGTGTTCTAGTTTATCTAGTCCAAATCGCTCACCAATCATCCTTATGAATGAACATTTGTTTTAAAAGCATTCCGTGTAGATGCAATTGAAATGCTGCCATAATATTCTTCTTCTGTATCTAGACTTACAACAGTGCACCTCATTCATCTTGAGTAGGAGTTTCACAGGCAATATTAAAAGTCTTGGCGTTCCAATTCATTTTACTTATCTTGAACCTGAATGCAAACCGTACTATAATACGTACACACAAATCGTACGGATGATTACTAGTACGCAATCACAGATCGAGCAAATGAGGATATTCAATTGTGGCTAAAGGGTTGCTTTTTGTAATTAAGAAACTTGACAAAAGTGGCAGTAATGTCCTCAAGTCATCTGCAATATGCAGGGGCACCTGACGTCATATATGCAAATTTCAAACACTTCGGAGCATGCGGTAAATTTGTCTGATTCGATAACCATTGGTTTGCTGAAATGGTTTCTTGCAACGTATGCATTCCGTTTTCTTTCTCTTTAATTTTACTACATAAGTAAATAATATGATTAATATCTTTTGTTAGACTTCTGTAAAAGTTTCTCTCATTGTTAAGATAAACTTTAGTCCTTCCTCAAATGTAGGAGTGTGTTTGTGCCCAAGTGCAGGTTTGCATTCATAATATCTGGAATTTTACTCTAAGAAAATCATTTCTTTCAATTAATGCTTATTTCCAATGCTGTCTTTCTCTGCATACAATCCTTCATATTAAAATATTTTCAAGTCGTTACACTCCTGCACTTTAATTAATTTTTATTTCACAAATAATCAACTACAATTTTTTCATAAATTAGCTAGCTCTTTCTCCTCTTATTTATGTGAAATTATTTAAGACTAAGCCATGTGTGCAAGTCATTTTCATCTAGATGCATGCAGATATACACGTATGTATTTATATTTACTTGCGATATATCATATACTTGTTGCGACGGTGAGAATGTATTAGTATTAATCTTCTAGGAAGTGGATTTTCCCTCTTCAGCATGTTTGTTCTCTAAAAAATTACCTGAGAAATTTTTATGTAAAGGTGTAATTATTAGCTTTAATTTTAGTGAAAATAGAACTGAATGTGGCCAAAATATTGAATTAAATTGTGCAGAGTAACTGATACTACTAAGGAATTAATAAATTTGACAATAAGCAACTTTTTTATTTCTTTTGCTTTATATCTGCGTATAATATAATTTCAGGAAATAGATAACCTGCTCCAAAAATTTCGAATTTGTAAAAAAGTTATGAGAAGGTGATGAATTCTTACATGAATTGTTTTCCAATTTCTTAACAGTCCTAATTGACTACTGAGTCATTTAAGTTCGTCCTGCCAAGTTTCATATTTGAGGAGGGATTTCTTTGGCGAGTTAATTTTAAATTTCAGATGTTAGTACGAGATTGTTTTTTGCACAATTCGTTTAATTGCAATTGAAATAAAAATTATGAATTTCCAAAAGCTAATGGAATATTGTTTGCTGGTACTGATCATTGTATTCTTTAGACGCTTTTAAATTTGCGCGACAATTTATGCGCTCCAAAATGGTTCACTGCCGTAGAAATTACATACCTTGAATATAGTCTTAAGATAGAGTAAAATTGTAAGACATGTAAATTTTGGTTTGTAAAGCGCTTTTGGTCTTAAGAATTGCAATTCATACCAAACATGAAATAATGACTATTTTAATGAATTAACCAGTTAATATTCTTATTAACTCAGTAAGATAGTTCTTTGTTGGGCTCAATTGCTTTCTGTGCATTAAATTATATACCTTTAACGCAAAAAATCCCAAATTATGAGAACTTATTTTTCAAGATTTATGATTTTTACTTCCATGACATGTGCACTTGAGGATTCAAAGTCCGAATAATAGAATTTACAACCAATTCCGAAGTAAAAAAAGAATGTGAAGAAATAGTATTCACAGTCGTATATTCAGATTTTGTAAAGAATAAATGATCGTTGCAAAATTGTTGTCATGCATATATTAATAATGTCATGTTTGCATCCTGAATATAGAAGCTTTAATGTTTAATTATTTAAATACAGTTACTTTAAAGATTTGAATAGTTACGCCAGCAATAATAGAATTTCTATACTTTATTTTACAAGCAAACCAAAGGTCTAACATTTTTGGTTTTTAGAAATGTTTAGTGGACAGGACACAAAATATAACAGTTCCTTATGCCGAATGGGAAAGAATCAGTTGCGTAGTTTTCGGTTAGTTTTTTAAGCCTAATCAGAACAGAAGCTCTCTTTTTTAATCTTGGTTTGTAAATTTTAAAGTAAATTTGACCCAATTACAGAGCAAATTTACTCTCACCTTATTTATTATCTTCAATTTGATGTGAGAATTGGAAATACAATGCTATTTTTTATCTGAAATTAATTGCCTCTAGCAAGCTCTAATTAATCCCAACTTGGCTTAATTCCTTTTTAGTCAAAGTAGCAAAAGTGTGCACAAGATAGCAAACTAGTCACAATTTTCAAATTACATATCGGCGGCTAAACATCTCGCGTAGGTGAAACTTTCCACATAATTAAGTTCAGATCAACAACTTAAATGAATAAATTTGAAAGAATGCAATCAACTCACTTTAAGCCTTGAAACAAATTTTAAGGATAAGAAGTCAGATTTGCTGTAGAAATTAAGATTTTAGATATGATGGAGTTTAGCCGCTAATTACGATGCAATTATGTCTAAAGTATAACATCGTAATTAGCGGCTATCCTCCATCATATCTAAAATTGGAAACATTGCTAGTGCATAGAAATCTGCATCATGTATATCCGTAACAGATTTTTGATTAACTATCAAAATGCACTATAATTTAACTTCACATACTTTGAGAGCAGTAAAAGGAACTGTCGGACTAAATTTTGATTAAATTCAGTCTTTGCAGTTTGTCGATGGTTACACATCTCAATTCTGATGTTTTGAACTGAAATTAGTTGTGTTTTGAAGTCAGAGTAATTCAGCAGGAGTGGAAAATATTTTATCACTGCTTTGATCAAACTATGTGTTTGAATCAGTTTACCAGCTCAATTTTCACCATTTTTTTAATAATTTCAATGCTTCGTGCTAACTTTGGCAGCCATCAGTGAGGGAGTAATAAGTGTTATTGTTATTCTTGAGCAAGTTAGCGTGCATCAAACCATCGTCATATTTGAGCAAACTAGCAAATCTACTTTTATGCTTGACTTAGATAAACATGTTATAGATTATTCAGTAGCTTCATGTGCCGGATAAAATTTGTATTCAATTTATTTCCCTGCTTACTATGTTTATAAAAAATTGTGAAGTAGTATCTTGGAAAAATGCATAAATATTAATGAAAATTTTATCAACTAAGCAATGTCTTCAGGAATTCTGTCTTTTGTTGTTTCTCAAAATTTTTAATCCTTTTTTAAGCTTAAATCAAAGCTAAAAGTAAAGTTTTGACTATAGCTAAAGCAAATTAATTTTGCAGACAGTTACGGTGGCCAATTTTAAAACCTTGGCGAATAATAAATATTTATCTTGCATTTATGGTTTTATGCTTTATAATTTTGCTGATCTATTCATGCGCCAATTTTCATCTCAATTTTGTCAGAGGTTAGCAATATTTTATTCAGCAGCACTATTCATTTGTATTACTTTATCCGCTGCTGATATGAATTAATTTGATATTTTCGCTTGAATGCATTTTTACTTTGCTTTCTGTTGTTTTCAACGTTTTAACCTGAAAATCACGAAAATTTAGGTTAAAATGTTGATTTGCGTCGTTTAAAAAACAAAGCAAAAGTAAAATTTTCCTCCTTTTTATAGAACAAACTTTCAAGGACAGTGCCATCAGAGTACTACGTAACTTTACTGATGCTCGTGTGTTAATAGCTCCAACTTTTCAACAATGTCCAAATGTTTCGGTTTTTTATATTATTCGCACTCACCCCAGGAATACAAGTTGGAGAAACCTAATTCGCTCAACTTGGGCTGGGCCGGTAAAGCACTCTTTGGTCAGTTATATATTATTCTCAATTCATTAAAAACTGGCTAGTTTCTGATTTAATATTAAGCTCAGAGTTGTTTTCATTTCAGATATTTGTCTTGGGTGTCGAAAAGGTGGGAGAAGTAGAAGAAATGGTCCAATTCGAAGCTCAAATTCATGATGATTTAATTGTTTTTGATTTTATTGATAGCTACGATAATATGACATTAAAGTCATTGAATATTTTGACTTGGATTGTCCGAAACTGTCAATTACCACGATTTTTTATGCAGGTGAACTTCACTTTGAAACCTTTTCAAAATAAGTTGACAAGATTTACAATAATAAAAATGTTACATTTATTACAAGCATAGTACTAAAATAGTTTGTAGAAAATATTTATTGCTAATATTTGCTGACAAATTTTACTTAACCAAACCAATAATAACATTAGAATAGACACCGACTAAAAGTATTATTATTGTTATCAAAACTTCAAATATTCAAGAGAAACAAAGTTGAGTGGAAGATTCCAAAAGTTGCTCATTCACAATTCTACCTTGGAATATATAAGCTACGGTGTATAGAAGCAGACTTCACTAATGTACGTTGCAGGGTGACCCTGACATTGTAGCATTTCCGAATCAGATTTCTTCTTATACATTAAATTTAAATACAAGTTCGATAGCTGTTTATGGTAAGTGCTGGAAACGTGCAAGAGCTTATCGAGAAGATCGCAGCAAGTGGTGTGTTTTGTTTGATTTAGGAATTCAGTCAAACTTTACTGAGAATATTTTATTAAGCATATTCAAAGTTACATGCATCAATTAGAACGATCTGAATAATGTCTGTATAATGAAAAAGTTACCGATGATGATAAGGTTATTAAGTTGTTAGTTTAGGAATTTGGATTCCCTCACTTACGCATCAGTAACTTATCCGACTTATTTGGCTGGTGGTGCATGGTTTTTCACTCTGGAAACCGCTAAGCGTCTTCTAATGGCTTTGCGAAACCCCTTAAGTTACATCCATATTGATGACATGCTAATTTCCGGAATATTTGCGGAGATGATGAATGTGCCACGAGTGTGCTTGAAAGGCATCGGATATTTGCACGAATTTTCATTTCGGAAATGCGACAATAAGCATATTCTAGCGATAATAGAGTTAAATGACTATGAAATTTTAAAAACTATGATGGATTATCAGGAAGCTTCGATTAACTGCTTTTCATGAAGTATTCAAGGAATTGCATCTTTTGTATTTTGAATTCATGAGGAGTACTGTGAGCTGGATGTATCTCAGATGCAAACTAGATCAAATTCTATCTGTTCTTTCGTCTCTCTCATCTTCAGTCTTTCATCGCATTTTATTTGCATGTACTGTTTCTAGTGATTTAGTTTTATCGTTGTTTTTTTTAGCTTTTTTCACATTTTCAAATGAAATTGAAAAATTTTTTTAACTTTAGCTACACTAGAAGTTTATGATAGGTATCAGTTACTTAATATAACATAACTGCTTTTGTCTACCTTTGACCTGATCTAATTATCGTTGATCATCAGTGAACGCATAATGAATTATTAGTCAGTAAGCGTGTACACGAAAACTTTTTATTGTTCAGTTGTTAAATTTCATTTTTTTGACCCTTTTATATCTGTCCATTAAATTGAAGAAAAATTTTCTTAAGTGACCTTTTAACTCTCAAAATAAAACTAAATCAATCACAGCTATTCGCATTAATGATTTTTTCGATTTTGAAGTCAGAATAGATAAGCTTTTTATGAAGCAAAATATAGCCAATGAAAGCAACTCCTCTCCTTCCTCCATCGCATCAATCTCAATTTTTCAAATTCAGAAGTTCGTCTAAGTCTTTTCTGCTAGCTTCCATCACACGTGCAAGCATCTATCTGTCTGCTTTTTCGTACTGTTTTACCTCTTTTCTCTCTCAGCTTCACGCAGACAAATTGGTGTATTTTTTCGAGCATTCAAACACATTCATCTTGCCCTATTTTTTGCTAATTTCAAGACTTTTTTTTTCTCTTTTTTGGTTTCTCAACCGTTCAGTGCTTTCACTTCAGTGTTAGTTAGTTGCTTTGTTATTTATTCTCTTTTGTTTACTTTAAATGATTAATTTATTGATTTAAGCATTTTTAAAGTAAAAACACGCATTGATTGTATTGTGATAAGTGATTACTTGCAAGTTTATCACTGCTAATAATAAATTACATATTACTCTTATTACTAGTAGTAGCGATGTTTTAATAATAATAATAATAATA